ACCTAAATCACACGCCAGTTTTATAGGATAATGGTATTGATTGACATACACATTGACAACTAATGCAGGGGTTGTCCTGCAATGACATTTTTTTGGTGGCCGCCAAAAGCACCTTATTTGATTGCTAGTTCAAACTTTTGACTGCTTTCTTTAATAATTACATGACACAATACTTGTTCTTTTACTTTTAGTACTTAAGTAGTGAATTTTAAAATAAACTACTTGCAATACTTAAGTACAAAAAATGTTGAATACTTTAGTACTTCTAGTGTGGTGCTTAAAGGGTTAGTTCACCCAAAAATGAAAATTCTGTCAGTATTTACTCACCCTCATGTTGTTCCAACCCCGTAAGACGTTCATCTTCGGAACACAAATTAAGATATTTAAGATATTAAGATCGCTCCTGCATACAGTCCATAGGCTTCTTGAGGGACTGGCTCTTGCTGTCCTCGAAAAGTCATTAAAGACATCGTTAAAATAGTCCAAGTGACTACAGGGGCTCAATCTTAAGTTTATCAAACGACGATAACACTTTTGTGCGCAAAAAAACAACAAAAATAACGACTTTATTTCAACTATTCGTTTATTTATCCCTCTGCGCGAGTCAGGTTACTAGCTTAATAGCGTAAGCTTCTGTTATTGTATGTCACACGCATCACACACACATGACCAGCGTCGGCCAATAGTGAGCCCACGTGTGACGTAGCTCTACGCAATCACACTACGTTAACTGACTTACAGGCTCATGGAGAAGGAAGTGAATAGTTGAAATAAAGTCGTTATTTTTGTTGTTTTTTTGCGCACAAAAGTGTTCTCGTCGTTTGATAAACTTAAGATTGAGCCCCTGTAGTCACTTGGGCTATTTTAACGATGTCTTTAATGACTTTTCGGGGACAGCAAGAGCCAGTCCCTCAAGAAGCCTATGGACTGTATGCAGGAGCGATCTTAATATCTTAAATATCTTAATTTGTGTTCCGAAGATGAACGAAGGTCTTACGGGATTGGAACAACATTAGGGTGAGTAAATACTGACAGAATTTTCATTTTTGGGTGAACTAACCCTTTAAAGAGCACTTCAACTTCTACTCAAGTCACTTTTTTGATAGAGCACTTGTACTTTTACTCAAGTCCGGTTTTCTAGTACTTTATACATCTCTGGTTGGAACGGAGCCTTCCAGATGTTTCCAGAACTGCATGTTCTTCCATAAAAAGATTTGACATTTATCATCTCGAGGTTGTTGTTTTAGCATTAACTTTGAGGTCATGTTAATATACTAATATCATGACTAATTTTACATACATTTCTGTCAGACCCCTGTAAAGTTTGCTGAGGGGCCCATACCTAAAGCACTTATACGACTCGAGTTTGTCTTGAAGGACATGTAGGCCTACACTTGGACTACGACTACGAAAAGGTCAAATGTAAAAAAATAAAATAAACATATTTCAGATAACACTGTTCTCACTGTTTCATATTAAATGTACGCATTTGGCAAAACGTGACTTCCATTGCATTTCAAGTAGCTATAAATGTTTCATGCTTTCCCTGGTAACACCATGCAAGAAACACACAATGTAAAGAACAGTGTTTTATTAATATCAAACAAAACTCAAAACTTTTGACAAAAACATTGCTGAGGGTAAAATAACCATTTAACCATTGAACATGTTCAGAATTGAAGATAACGTAACAATATTACATGTGCATTCAAGTATTCTAAGACATGCCTTCTGGATCATTCATGGACGCTCGTACTGAAGGCACTGCAGCCAGTAGTGACACTTTATTCATCGACGGGTTCACATCCAAGTACTTAAACCAATTATGAACTTTTTCATGACAGGTATTCAAGCTGAAGCGTTTACCCTCATCAGCTCTAGTATTTCGCGGAGTGTACAAACACACACTTCATCAATCGTCCACGAGCCTGCCTACAGGAACACACACCGCTCACTTTTTGGTACTCTGAACATGACTGGGTCAGGCAACACTTCAGACGGGATGATTGACAGCTGGCTGACTGCCTGCCCAAAACAAATGCAAATACAAAACTGGAAAACTGAAGTAATGGTGTTTTTAAAAGCGGTTTCCTTGAAAGTTCACCTTAAAAGTAGCCTAATATTTTTCATTATTGTAAATAGACTTGATCTTTTTCACTTTATGTTAAGTATTGTATATGTGTTGCTGTGTAGATAAATGATAAATTACACTGTTCCAATAGTGTAATGTCACTAAATGAATTTTTAACAGTAGTACAAAGACTTAATAGGACATTAACATGAAAATTATACAACAAAACTATTAATTAGGCTTCAATTAAAACCAATATGTAAATAAAATAAAAACTTTGGAAATACTGTAATAAAATATCACCAACACATCACAATTAATAAATATATAATGAATTAATCTAAGGTGCTTTTTAGAGCATATTCCACTGACGGTTAGCTGAATGTAACAGTGAAACAATAGACTGGATTAGATAGATGACCTAAAAGACCAGACTAAACTATAGAATACAGTCTGTAATGTTGAAATCGGTGAAATCTAGCAATTCAGTTCAATGCATTCATTAAAATCACACGACAAAGATATAGAAGAAAAAGATGAAGGAGGAAAAGCATCAAACGACTAGCAAAGATCCTAAAGAAACATAATCCCGTTGTCTAGAACTAATATTCATCATGATGAAGATTGTTTTTAAAAACTCAAAAAAGCAAATGGATACATATTAAACATTGTTGTGAAAATGGAGAAATAAGATCCCATAAACTGTTACCAGTGCTTATCGCGTGAAGCGGTGAAAGATTGTCTGTTGACCAAAAATTATTAATCAAGTTCCCCCTGGACTTTGGTTTTATAGCAATGTTATCTACTATATGCACTATCAACCTTAATTAACACACATTTCTTCAAGACAATAACAGAGTATTCAGTGTAAGATGATCCAGTGAGTCTCCTGTAAAATATTGATTAAAGAAATGAAAAGGCCATTAATGGTTTCTTTATGCTAATGTTGGCTTGGCTTCTCCGAGGAAAAGCCTCTCCTGCACTAATCCTATCGGAGTGTGTTTTAAAGAACATCCGGATTGCGTAACAGTCAAGATCCTCACCTGACACGGGTTACTAATGTACGCAGAATAACACACACGTGCGACTGGATGTTGAGGGGGATTTTTGGATGTTGAGGGGGATTTTTGCAGTACAGCCATTTTCACACTTAATTTACAAAGGTATAATTTCTCTCACTCACACACACACACACAAATCTGTCTTGTGAGAACATTCATTCACCCCAAACCTATAACCTCATCACTAAAACCAGATCTTATTTCTCAAACAGACCTTTAAAAGGCTCTCAGAAAGTGAGAACCTGCCAAACACACACACTCACTCTCACAAACACGCACACACACAGTAGGAACCAACCAATTAAGACACACCATTTATTGCTAATCTTAAAAAACCTCACCATGGCAATGTATGGCCCTGTAACACACACTTTTACAATAATTCGTTGTGGGGATAAAGGATTCATTCCCATGTCATTATTTACTCACCCTCATGTCTTTCCGAACTGAATTAAGGAGAAAAGAAAAAAGGGGGTGAAAGGTTAATGCAGTTCATTTTCATACAAAGTCAGTTGACGGTGACTCTGTCTGTCACTCTTGGGCCAGGGCCGAGCCGTGCTAGTGCGTGCCAGGGCTAGTCGCTTTTCCACTGTCACTTCCGGGGCTTGATCAGGGCTTACTCGGGGCCAACGGCCAGGATTTCTGGCCCGTCGAATACCTTAGGCCAAAGCGGGCCAGCTCGGGCTAGAGGCGTGCTCAAGGTGGGCGGAGTTTATCGGTGTTATGGAACGTTATGATCTTGAAGCAAGATGCACATTTCACTTTTTTATATTGCGCAAAATAATCAATGAAGAAACAAGGACGTTATAAAATACATTGATGCTGAACTTTCTAAGCTAAGCATTTTCTCAAGCTAAGCAAAAGTTGCGGGCGCAGTATCGTACAAGGCGATTAAAACGCACAATGGACAAAGCGGAGCTCAGAAAAGGAACTTGCCATAGTTCGACTTGATGGACGATTTGCTGGGTCACCGTCCATCTGTTAGTAGCGACTCGCGAGACAATCGGGACACTATTGCAGCCACGGCCGGTGAGTTAATATGCTATCTTCCTAACTTAAAAAATAAATAAATTCATAATACCCGCTGAAATGGGTTGGGTTGTATGTCGTTTGATCCCGAAAGGCGAGTAAGGGGCGGGGTTTAGGGCAATGGAAACGCAAGCCCAGTGCTTGAGGCCCGAGGCCACTGGCTCGGCTCGCTGTTAGCCCTGGCCCGGCCCTAGACCGGCAGTGGAAACGCGGCTACTGTGACACTAGTGCCATAAATACACATGATATGGCTGCTCAATTTCATGAAATGTCATTGCGGTTTTCCTGATAACAACAGAGATTGTGATTTAAAATGTGATTTATAAAAACATCTCCATGTTTGCTTGTTTGTAGGGCTGCACATTTTAGCCATAAATTACAAAACGAATATTTACGGCTGCCTCAAGAGCCTGCAGGGAGCTTCTCTTAGCGGTCAACAGCTTCTCATTACAGGGTTGTGAAGATGCTTGGCTTCTCAAGCGCAAGTGAAAGCGACTCAAACTCGTGTGTAAAGCGACACAGTGCCACGCTTCACTCTAAAAAACACATATGGAGGTATTTGACATTTGCCGATTTTGGTTTTATTTCAAATGTCGTGCAGCCCTATCATTTATGCAACAACTCTATGCTTTAACTTTGCTTTATTCCAAGTCTTCCAAAGTCTTTTGATTATCTTGTGTGACAGACAGATATCAAAGTCTTTCTTTGCTAGACGCAGATGAAATTTCAGAGCTTCAGCATCAATGACCTATGATATGGCTTTAGCACACCTTGAATACAACACACGATCCACATGGAGGGTCACCAACAACTGTCCTTGTATAAAATTTTGTAATAAATTCCATAGAAACAAAAAGGAACACTGTGTAAGAGCATGAGGGTGCGCACATAATGACTATGAACTAGTCTTCTCAGCTGAACTGCCCCTTTAAAGCTTTCCCTGCCTCTGTGTTTCCTCACACACAGAAGATCAGTGGTGTATGGATGGCGTAGTGGGGGAGAGGGGTAAAAATGGAGCCCTACACTGAGTGTGTTAGTGCTGGGTGTCCGAGGCCTCATGTCTTGTTGCGTGTGAACACGCGCTCGCCCCGCAGGTTGAGGTGCTGGAGCTGGTACTGCAGCACCTCGGTGTCCGCCGGCTCCCTGAGGCTCATCTTGTCCAGGTTGAGGTAGTCCAGGGACTTGGAGTGGACGCGTTTGCCCTTCAACAGGCACAGGGGCAGCGGGCCGTGCGGGGTTTTGCCGGGCTCCCCGCTGGCCAGGGACTTCAGACAGCCGTCTCCTGAGCTGGGCATGCGCCGGCGCCGCCGCCCGTTGATGGCTGGGATGTCGTACGGTTGGTAATATCGGCTTTTGGCTTTGCAGATCCGCGAGGCTCGGTGCAGACTTACATCCACAGGCTTTTTGATGGGGCTGGGCAAGGCCTCTGTGTTGCTGCTGTCAGGACTAGACCACTTGTGGGCTAATTTAAGAAGCTCCTCGCCGGTGGTGAAGCCCACTAGATAGTTGGAGTTCATGTGAAGGATTTGGTATCCTGAGACAGTACTTTTTATGGGGGAGCAGGGGGTGCTGGAGCAGCGTGGTTTGTCGGGCTCGGGCTTCAGGGTGCTTTTGACCTCAGCGGCTGACAGAACGGATATGGGTGCCCTGGACGATCCACTGGCATCCATTTCCATCTTTCCTGACATGACCTGGCTGAAACAGAGGAGAATAAAACATATATATATATATATATATGGCTGGGACAAGAAATTGATGCATCGTGGATCGAGAAATTAGATTGATTCCGAGATTTTCCGAATGCATCGCGATTTTCTCTAGAATCGATTCGGAGCTTCGTTTTTACCAGCAGAGGGCAGTGCGTGTCCTAGAAACAGCTGTACTCTGCTGGCTGTTCCAATGCCTTACGCACACCACCTGAACCTTCTATAAAATAATCATTCATAAAGTTTGAAAAGTTTGAAGCGAATCACAAGGGTGTTTGTTGTGGGCTTTTGACATTAATCTCGCGTCATAAAAGCATTCTGAGGTGCGTGTACATTCTCATATCAGCCAAACACATGGACGCTCTTCTTTGTGAGCATTTGAGCATCCAGTTAAAAACTAGCCAAAAGCGCCATCTGCTGTTATAAACTAGCCTAAAGCGCCGTCTGCTGTTACAGACTAGCCTAGAGCGCCATCTGCTGTTACAAACTAGCCTAGAGTGCCATCTGCTGTTACAAACTAGCCTTGAGCACCATCTGCTGTTAAAGACTAGCCTAGAACGCCGTCTGCTGTTACAGATTAGCCTAGAGCGCCATCTCCTGTTACAAACTAGCCTTCAGCACCATCTGCTGTTACAGACTAGCCTAGAGCGCCATCTGCTGTTACAAACTAGCCTTCAACGCCATCTTCTGTTACAGACTAGCCTAGAGCACCGTCTGCTGTTACAAACTAGCCTTCAGCGCCATCTGCTGTTACAGACTAGCCTAGAGCGCCATCTGCTATTACAAACTAGCCTTCAGCGCCATATGCTGTTAAAGACTAGCCTAGAGTGTCGTCTGCTGTTACAGACTAGCCTAGAGCGCCATCTGCTGTTACAGACTAGCCTAGAGCACCATCTGCTGTTACAGACTAGCCCAGAGCGCCGCCTCCTGTTAAAGACAAGCCTAGAGCGCCATCTGCAGTTACAGACTAGCCGAGAGCATCGTCTGCTGTTACAAACTTATGATGTTACAAATAAAATTAGTACTTTTAAGGCCCATTCAAAATCAAGGTTGATGATAACGATAAAGATATAGTTCTAAAAATTGTTCTCAATATTAAAGAATAGCAGAGTTCACACCACAGCGATAACTATATAGAGAAACGATATCGATGGGATCACTTTTGGAATGATTTTTTTTTCAGCTGTTGATTGATACAACACTGACAGTCAATCAGATTCTAATTTAAGGGCTCTCACATTTAAAATGGCAGACAACATTGCGGAGAAGTTATTTGCTGTGGTCCAAAAAAATACAGCACTGTTTGACAAGTCAAACCCCTTTGCAAGAAAATGGACATGGAAAACAACCAGTCATACCCAAATAAATGGTGTGAAGTATTACCTCAGGTATCCAGCACTCATTTACACAACATTTTCTTGAAGTTGCTGTGAAAAAGACTAGGTGTTGTTTTTATTCCACTATATTGACAACGTCGGCTAAATTCACTATTAGATTATTAGATCGATGACACTAGCTTCACTCAAAACACAGCATGCTGAGGACATCTTCTGGTTAAATGCAACAAGAACACCAAAACATGTTTAATAATGTTGTACACACTTTGAAACCGCAGCGCACGAGCTTAGAATAAACAGCGTGTTATCGCTCATTGGTGTGGACGTAAATATAGTTATCGTTCTTGGTGTGAACGGCCCTTTAGTTACAACAAACATCGTTTCAAAAAGTTTTTACAAAAAGTTGTACTACTTCTGTACATACAGCAAGTTTTAGGGATGGACAATATGACAATTTATAACATCGCAAAATGACACGATGAGTGATCCTCTGTATTTAGATCTAGCTATATTGTATTTGTAATGTTGTCTAGCACATATATTAGTGCAGCAGTGACTTGAGCATTCAAAAGCAATTAAGAGATTTAAATATTTGTTGGTTTTCTTCAAAGTGAGAGTAAGCAATTCTCGGCTGATTAAAGTCCCCCTGTGGTGAAAATCCAACTTTTTATGTTGTTTATAAGTCTACGAGGTGTTTTTTTTAATATGCTTTAAGACAAACCATGTGTAAATTCATAAGTCGACAGTATTGCAGTATTTTCTCCTTAAAACTGCAGTGAACCAGTCTCAAAAACACGGTGTGAAAACGCGGGTGTTTCTGACATAACAAACTACCTTGTAACCAATCAGATCAATGTGTGACCAGTGGATCTCTGAGCTGAGTGAGTGGAGGCGGGGCTCATTTGCATATTCATAGAACCACATGTATAGTTAAATGAGGCAAGGGTGTAGAGTTACATTCAAGATATTTTAAGGAATGAAGAATTTTTTTTCCAAGGAAAAAAATTCAAATATGTAATTTTGGTGATTGAAAGATGAGTTCTACAGTAGTTTGTTCTTTTCTGGCCAGGCCAGTGTCCCCAGAAAATTCAGAGCGTACAGAGTATGAAAGAGTTTTAGAATGCACATGCGCATACAATCGTGTTTAAGTAAAGCCGTATGTCAGCTGAAAGCTTTCAACACTGGCGGCAGCTGAATGGGGCTGGAGCTCAGCTTGAGTTCAGTGTCCATGTGAATGTACTCTGAAACCGATTGTGACAGTTATAGGCAGATGTTGATCAGCGACTACAGATTTGGACTCTTCTACCGGTATTAAATTAGAAGCAGTTGCATCTGTCCCGCAATTCAGTAGCAGAACACGCACAGATATGAAGTCTACAGGACGCAGAGCGGTCAGCTCAATGGCACAGAGATCAGCTCAACATCAGATTGGGTCTTCATATTAAAACATTGAAGGATAATTCCAAATGCTGACGGTCATTTTGACAAAAAAGAGAACAATATAGGATTAGGAAGAATGAAACCAAACTTGAATCCAGCACTTGGATTTCACTCTGACCTGAAATAATGCCTCCAAAAGCTGTAAAAGAAAGGTTTTGAGCCTCAGCTGCTGGTTTGAGATGATGCAGCATTTCTACTGGCGATGATGATGATGCGCCAGTGACGTGGCAAACGATATCTAACAAGATTTTGGCAAGTTTAGGATTAAACACATTTGAAGGGGACTTGTGTCTCTGTGGGAAAGATGGGTCAGAGACACAAGCAGACCAATCAAGCCGTTACAGCTCCAAAGTCTGACAGACTCGACTGCAGGACATGCAGATTTATTACGCATATGTTTTATACTAGATACTATAATCTACAAAATAAAATAAAAATACAGAAACAAAGTGTGATTTTTTTGTATTTCACCGAGTTCGTTCGTTTGGCCAGAGGAGAACTGATCCTGGTTTCTCCCAAGGTTCCCATTTCTGTCACTGATGGAGTTTGGGTTCTTGCCATTGTCACCTCTGGCTTGCTTATTAAGGACACTTAATATTCAACAATATTATTGATTTGACTGCACTGACACTATTGTGTGAGAACTGAACTGAGATGGACGATGACATCACTTGTTTCCTTCTCTGTTTTTCCAGTTCATTACTATAAAGCTGCTTTGAAATAATCTATATTGTACTGAACTGTATTGTACTGACTTAACTAAGTTACAAGCTCATAAACTGGGTGCATGCCAGAACAATTATTTTAGTAAATATTATGTAAATTGAACCTAAATCTAATTGCAGCAACTGTCATGTTTGTGTTTTTAATTATCTTTAAATTAATAGTGTGATTGAAGAACAATGGTAGATTATGAGCAAATATAGAATCAAGGTCAGGTCTATCACACCGTCAGAGCATTTACATTTTTCCCTATGTTAATATATTGAAATTATATTATAAGTAAATTAATATCAGCATGCCAATTCAAGCTCAGTGATTTACTGTCAAATGTTGAACATTGGACAACTGATTCAGATCACTTGGACGTGACTGTGATTACATGAGGTAAAAACTATTTAAATACTGTTCGTTTTCACAAATCGCTCGTTTCGTGTCTTAGGCCATCAATGTGTACTTACATTTACTGGTCATTAAATCATGTTTAATTTTGACTTCTCTGTGCATGCTCTTTTAGAAAATCCCCAAAGACTTCCATTATATGACTGACAGACAACAACGGTTTGACCAAAAAATGTCAAAATTGAAAATACTGTGGAAACAAAGACACCTACATCTTGGATGCCCTTGAGGTAAGCTAAAACATAAAAAAATTAATTTCAAAGTGAACTATCCCATTAACTCCTCTTTTAACCTGTCTAAAGGCTGGATATTTCTTCTTTTTCTTAACAAAACAGACATGATCAAATTTGGACCAAATGATCATTTTAAAGTCAAGACATTTCTCTCTTTTAAGAACCCTGATAAGGTCATTCATATCTTTTTTTTTCAAGTCTTGATTATTGCAATTCTCTATGTATAGAAGTCAGATAGACAGTATTGTCTCAGTCCAAAATGCAGCCGCTAGGTTGCTGACAGGTACGCAGACACATTACGATTCTATCTTCACTGGTTGCCAGTACATTTCCACATTGATTTAATCTTTTCCTGTTTGTTTTTAAATCACTAAATGGGTTGGCAGCAGCTTCTCTAGCAGTCCTTTAAAACAGCACACAACTGTGCTCTGATCAGCTGCTTTAACTGTTCCTATAGGACTCTAGACTAAAACTTAGGGCTGGAATCATTTATCCCTGCAAAACTCATCCATTATTTCAGGCTTTTAACTCTAAATTGAGGGTATTGAGGCATATTCTACACTGAATTCTGTGTTTTCTTTTCTGGATCACCTGCTTTATTTATTTTTTATCTTTGTACAGCACTTTGGGCAAATGCTGTAGTATTTGCGCTTTGTAAATAAATTAATGAAAAGAGAAGCATGCATATTAATAGCATACTGTCTGTATATTAATACATATAGCCTAAAGCACATATTATTGCCTTATTCGGCATGACCATATTCTACATCACTTAACCCTACCCCTTACCTACCTTATTTACTGTCAATCAGCAGTAATTAGGAGTTTATTGAGGGAAAACTAGTTAATAGTGAATATGTGTACCCTAGTCTAAAGTGTGACCAAAAAAAATGTAGGCTAATAAAAAAAGAAATTACCAAATTTAAGATCATGTTTACACACTTACTAATCATCAAAACATTAACATTTAGGCTACATTATCTTTTTGCCAAACCCAGTTCATTAGAATAAAATATGGACAGAAGGTCCTATCAAAAACAAAGAGTGTTATTAGCATAAGTTACATAAAATATCAGCCCTAGCCTTTAGTCAACAACATTAGGTTTAGTTTATTCACTGTGACATTGCTAAACCTTAAAGGAAATCTGAGTTAAACTGAAAAAAGAGGAGTATATCCACTATTCAGTTATTAAACAAAAGGCCCTTCCACTGAGCTCAAACAGATTGGTTTGTACAGTAAAAAAATGGAAATGTGTTTGTTTTAATGCCAGACATTATCATGAATAAACCCCGAGAAAGCAGGCCAACGCTTTACTGTAAAAATATTAATCAAACATTAATATTTCGGTAAAAAATCAAAGGCGCAATTTACCACACTGTAGAATAAGGTTGCTGTAAAAGATGTAATGATGATGATGATGAGAAAGGATAATGTTGAGGGTTTAGCAGAGGAGTCCGCCAGAATCATCCTGTTTCTCCTCCTGATGAAGATGATGATGCTCGACATCTATGAGACTCTATTACTGCGTTGAGCTCCATATGTACCCAAAAAACGTCATCATATGTACCATAAAACGACCTTTATCGACGAAATCGAGTAATATCAAAATCCAGTACAGCAGAAACCCGTCCTCCACACGCTATCTTTATTCTGGGCTGTGTCACTGCCACCATTTCGCGATTTACAACAGCAACGAGGGGATTTAACGGGACAACCGCGGCTTAAGCGAGGCTCACACACAGCACTCTATTCATAGCAGTGAAGAAATGTAACGAAGGAAATGGTGTAAAATCAAACCTGTTCAGAAAGACTGCACACCTGCGCTTGAGCGAACCATAGGCGAGATCCCTGTCAGAGGAGTGGTGTCGACACCAGTCACGTGACGCGAGCCACTGGCGCTCAGGAGGATCCAGTCACGTGATGTGTCGAGGCTCGGATGCTCTTATGTAAAGCTGTGGTTCTCAAACAGGGTCCCGGGGCCCAAAAGGGGGACTCAGCGGCTTTGAAAAGGCTTCAAATGACTCAAAATGAGATAAAACAGGCTTTAAAATTAGCCAAACCAGCAAAGAAAAGGCTAAATATAGCCAAGTATTTTTCTTCGAAGAATCTGGAAAACCTAGAAATAAAAGGGGAATATTTTAAGTGTTATAATTAAAAGGCATTTCATTATAATTATTTATAATTTATGTATAATTACATTTTTTATCTGTTATCCAAAATAGTTTCAAGGTAATGAAGCACAGTCCGACATTTAATTTAACCTCATAGCCGCATTCGGCAGAACTGCCACGTCTCTACAACACTGATCTTTCTGATGCACAAACACCAGGCTGGTGCTGCCAAAAGGCTCTTATCCTTATTAAAATTGCACCCGTTTTGCTTGTTAGCGGTTGTGCCAGTTAAACGTCTTTTAGGCCCTGTTCACTTTTGGTTGACTGGGTCACAAATTGGACGAGGGAGACACATATGCGTGCACACCTGGTGTTTTAATACATCTCTGTCCACTTTAGACCTCTTCTGTCCTGATTTCTTCAAGGTGAGGCGGGTCTATGGGTGAGTATAAATGGCTTTTCCAGATCTCTCAATCTAATGAACAAAACAATCTTGTGCCCGGAGGCGAGAGAGAAACACACGGACAGCATCTAGTTTCTGCTCTGACCAACCGAACACAGTGAGTGTGTGTTAGAAATCACGAATCACGTTTTTTTTTTGTCTTCTAACCAAACTTGCGTCTCTAGTTGACAAAGTTTAAATCCTGTCTGTCTAGAGCTCTTTTCCATAGTGTTTAGGCATTACATCAGTAGGTGGAGAGTAGACGGTCTATTGTAGCTGTTTAAACACATTCGACAACATGAGTGTTTACACTGTTAAAGCAATCCAGTCAAATGTGTTTTCAACTCGGGAAGTGGTTGAAAGTGGAAAAGCTCAAAGCGTTTTAGCATTTACACCTGTATTAGCGAAAATCCGATCTCCAAGCACAGCATGGTGTGTAGCATTTAACCACATCGGTTTTCTCTGCTTATGAGTTTTTGGCATGAACATCTTCGAATATGCTTTGCTGTAAATAGTCTTGTATTACGTCTCTGTATTTTGTGTAAAAGGTTAGTTCTGGTTCATTTGGTTTCCAGGGTAAAACAACTTGAAAAGGTTACTGTGTAACCAGGTTACTGGTTAAAATATTGTAAGGCTTTATTTCATCTGGACTCTCAGCCATCTTGTTCAGGTTTCCCAAAGACTCGCAACTTTTGTGAAATCTGTGAATCTTCTTCCAAACTGTTCCACTCATGTGGGAATTGGTCCTTGTACAGTCTATCCAAAAATATTTTCCAGGGCCACAAGAGATTTGGTTAATCTCTCAACTCTACCTGATACCATTCACCCGTAGAGTTTGCTCTTATTTACGCTGAAAGCTCCTCCTCAGTGTCCTCTGAGAAGAGAAGTTGCAAACCCTTCAAGCTTCTTCTGCACATGTTCTCCAGTGACATTCATAACAGCAGTACAGACTTGGAGTCCCTGTTGCTGCGATTTCTATTCTCTGATTCTCATACACTTTCAAGTGTCAATTTCATAATGTTGTGTTCAGTAGTTACAGGACACTCAGCTCCGAAACTGTGGAGATTCATTGCCTGTGTATTCAGCACTGGTAATTCTAGTGTTTTCTCTAGCCTCTCTTGCACAGAGCTTCTGACTGCTTCCATCCAAAAAACAACGTACTAATACGATCCATGACTTGTTTGAAGCAGCACAGTTGATAGTCGATGTAATGATTCCTGTCTGTTTTCCTTGTCTTGTGTCTCGCTTCACGTCACTTCTGCCAAGCCAGAGACACTTCACGTCACTGCTGCCGAGCCAGTGTCTACGGACAAGATGGCCGTTCCAGAGTCCGTTCACGTCACTTCCTCCGAGCCGGTGTCTACGGACAAGATGGCCGATCCAGAGTCTGTTCACGTCACTTCCTCCGAGCCGGTGTCTACAGACAAGATGGCCGATCCAGAGCCTGTTCACGTCACTTCCTCCGAGCCGGTGTCTACAGACAAGATGGCCAATCCAGAGCCTGTTCACGTCACTTCCTCCGAGCCGGTGTCTACAGACAAGATGGCCGATCCAGAGTCTGTTCACGTCACTTCCTCCGAGCCGGTGTCTACAGACAAGATGGCCGATCCAGAGCCTGTTCACGTCACTTCCTCCGAGCCGGTGTCTACAGACAAGATGGCCGATCCAGAGCCTGTTCACGTCACTTCCTCCGAGCCGGTGTCTGCAGACAAGATGGCCGATCCAGAGCCTGTTCACGTCACTTCCTCCGAGCCGGTGTCTACAGACAAGATGGCCAATCCAGAGCCTGTTCACGTCACTTCCTCCGAGCCGGTGTCTACAGACAAGATGGCCAATCCAGAGCCTGTTCACGTCACTTCCTCCGAGCCGGTGTCTACAGACAAGATGGCCGATCCAGAGCCTGTTCACGTCACTTCCTCCGAGCCGGTGTCTACAGACAAGATGGCCAATCCAGAGCCTGTTCACGTCACTTCCTCCGAGCCGGTGTCTACAGACAAGATGGCCGATCCAGAGTCTGTTCACATCACTTCCTCCGAGCCGGTGTCTACAGAAAAGATGGCCGATCCAGAGTCTGTTCACGTCACTTCCTCCGAGCCGGTGTATACAGACAAGATGGCCGATCCAGAGTCTGTTCACGTCACTTCCTCCGAGCCGGTGTCTACGGACAAGATGGCCGAGCCAGAGACTGTTCACATTACTTCTGCCGATCCAAAGACTGTTCACATCACTTCTTCCGAGCCAGTGTCTACGGACAAGATGGCCGATTCAGAGACTGTTTACATTACTTACGCTGATCCAGAGTCTGTTCACGTCACTTCCTTCAAGCCAGTGTCTTCGGACAAGATGGCCAATCCAGAGTCTGTTCCTGTTCCCGAGCCAGAGGGCGTGTTGTCTGTTCCCGGAGCCTGAGCCAGCGTGTGTGTCTACCTCTGAACCAGTGTGTGTGTTGTCTGTTCCCCAGCCTGAGCCAGTGTGTGTTGTTCTGCCCTTGAACCAGTGTGTAGAAGGAACCCAGAGAACAGAGAGCGTGTGATAGAAGGGAAAGATATTCCTCCCCTTATGATCATTTATTTGGAATGATTTTGAAGATGTTATCCGAACGATTGCCAATCCACTTTATTTTTAATTTGCTGCACCTGCATTGTTAGTAGATTACTCGAACATGATTATCATTGGCTCTGCTTGTTTGTAACCCTACATTAATTGGCGCGGATTTTGGTACATTTGGCAAATTCCTTCTGAAAGTGGGCATCCCTATGCCCTACTCACTCCGAAGGGCAGAACATGACCATAAATTTAAAAATTTACCCTCCTTGAAGTGACCATTGCATGTTCCCTGTGCTAACAGACTTGTGGAAATGCACTTTGTTAAGGGATTACATTATTCACTTTCATTTGAAACACTCCTACCAATGGCATCCCCTTCCCGAAGTGCCCTTCAAGGGTGCAAAAACGGAGCTTTGACTTCGCCCATTGTGTTGATCATTATTGGCACACATTATGAAATATGACTGCACCTGTGTCCTATAATTTGTGCATCAAATCACTTATGGGACTGAATTGTCATGTGCCAATTTGCTGTTTAGTAAATCTGGCCTAAAATGTGCAGTGTTGAGGGCTCCAGAAACCAGTTTGTTTGCTACAGTCCTAAAATAAGTCACATTATCACAAGTAAAAATAAATTGTATATGGCTCCAACTCTACTTGAAACAGATAATCTTCAGGATTACTAGGAAATTATAGGATTGTTGTAGAAGCTTGGTGCTAAACTGTTACAAAATGTTAAAGGAGAACTCCGGAACAAAATGAACCTTTGGTCTAATAAAACATCGGTACCTAGTCAATTGTTCTCTGAGATTTGTTTTCATGATAATCGAATGTAAAGGGTTTTATCTCTAAAAACTGTTTAGCATATAATGCTAGTACTGGGGGCATTTACTAAGTAAAAAGAAATCTCTAGTTTGTAAGACAGTTCACTTCGTGTATACAGGCGGCGCCATCTTTGGAAAACAGTCACGACAAATCAAACCACGAATGACGAGAATTTCTGCGAAGTTCTGAACTGTATGAACGGCGTTTGGGGATCGACTTATCGAGACTATTTTCTAAGATGGCTCCTATCTGTATACATGAAGTGAACTGTCTTTATAAAGTATCTTCTTAACGGTCTGTACACTTACAAAGTTCTCAATGCTTCGTTTTGCATGTACGGACCCTCATTATGTTACTGTGTTAGTGTGGGGCTATTTTGAACCTTGTTAGTGGTATAAACTAGCGATTTCTTTTTACTTAGTAAATGCCCCCATTACTAGCGTTATACGCTAAACAGTTTTTAGAGACAAAACTTTACATTCGATTATCATGAAAACAAAACCCAGAGAACGGTTGACTAGGTACCGATATTTTATTAGACCAAATGATTAGGTTCATTTTGCACTGGAGTTCTCCTTTAATTAGGTGGTGGCTACCATTGCTAGGATTGAAATGTACAATTTAGTATTGATTTCATGATGAACTTAAAAATGTCATCAGCCGAAGTTTATTCCCAATATTCACAACATTTAGTTTAATTTCAATTTGATGTAAAAGTAATTAACATAAGGCAGATTTCCATTACAGTGGAGGGAAATAATAGCACATTCTGATTGTAATGAAATATGCATTAAAAATATGTTTCTAAACACGAAATATCACTTAGGACCTTGTTTGATGAGGCCCCAGAATGTGCTGTATTCATTAAATATTCCAAAAGAATTAAAACCAGCTGCAGTAACATGTCATACTATGACAAGTAAATTCTATGCAAGCTTTTACATTTCGACATTCAAATATACAAACACATTCTTCCGAACCATTCAGGGTGAATGGAAGAGCTAAATAAGCTTACGATATGATTGTAATTACAACAATGTGATCTCTTTTGGTGGACTGTTTTGGTAACAAACATTCAGTAAGATGTTCCTTTAAATACAAAATAAAGGTACTGCTAATTATGACAAATTCTTGTCACTATAAGTAACAAAGTCAGGCTTGTAACATGCTCTAAGAATTGCTCTAATCTGTCTGAACAGAAATCCTGTTTTGGTTGGCTAGGTCCATGGCATGTGGTCCTCTGCTTGTGTACTGAGTGTACTGTGATATACTGTACATTTCCCAGTTGATGGTTTGCAGATTGATGTCATGTGTAAAAGCCTGGCATGGTTTTGGTAACACTCTTCTTTTCTAGAGCAGGGACTTCATGTGCTGGTGTGCCACTGGTTGAGCCACAGGACAGTGGTTGGGTGTTAAAGGAGGGATCAGTGATGGAGATGTTTGGAGCCGGGTTGGGCTGTGTGGTCTCTGAGCTTGGGTGTGGGGTTTTGCCACTACTTGCACTGGGCTCTGGAACATCTGCTGAAATTTCTTTGGGTTTTCTGGCGGGAAAATCATCCTGATCTGAAGGAAAATAAATATATACAGACGTGAAAAGCATAAGATTTTTTATTTCAGATTTATTAACTATATTTTTGTAGAACTGAGTATTTTTGTACCAATTTATTCACTTTCAAAACACTATATGCATTATATAAACTGTCAGGGCTCCAGACTGCAAGCAGACTTTGTTCCTGCTGGTGACTACATTTAGTAAGAGGTCGCACTAGTGCCAACCACGTTGTCCAAGTGATAAAAGCTGGCAATGATTGAGAGAGCAGTGCAGCTCAGATCAGGTTTACTCGCATCACATGATACCGTTACTACACAGCGGAGTGAGAAAGCGTTTGGATTCACTGCAGTATTAATGACTGCGAGATCTAGTAGGAAGCATTATAAACACAGATATCAGATCAAACTAGGGTTGGGAATCGTGAGAAATTTTCCGGTTCCGGTTCCGATTCCGGTTCCGCCAAACGATTCCGGTTCCGGTTCCCATTTAATTAAAAATATTAGTAAGAGAAAAATCCACAATCCTTTTTGTGTTTATTTCTTATAGTACTTGACAAATTAGTTTAACAGACTGGTAATGTAAACAAACTCAAAATATTATTAAGCAATCTTTGCAAAAAAATAAAAAAAAATAAAGGAAATTTAAAAAATCTGCATTCTCTATAATAATTTAGACCTCTCCTTTATTGTATCTCCAACAGTGAAGAATACCCTCTCAGAAGGAGTAGAATATGCTTTAGCACACATATGTGTGTAGAACAGATTATTTTTTAAAACGGTTTGAATGATTGATTCATAAAGACTTTACTTATTTCATTACTGGATAAATCGGCGCTCTAGCAGTTAATAAACAGAACTGCATGCGTCTTGCGGAAGAACATTTGTTGCCGGAGCTACTTCTCTCTGTTTATGTCCATGACGAGTCACGCAGGCATTAATTAATAATAATAATTCGTTACATTTATATAGCGCTTTTCTGGACACTCAAAGCGCTTCACATAGAAGGGGGGATCTCCTCAACCACCACCAATGTGCAGCATCCACCTGGATGATGCGACGGCAGCCATATTGCGCCAGAACGCTCACCACACACCAGCTTACTGGTGGAGAGGAGACAGTGATGAAGCCAATTGGTGTATATGGGGATAATTAGGAGGCCATGATAGACAGAGGCTACTGGGCAAATTTGGCCAGGATGCCGGGGTTACACCCCTGCTCTTACGAAAGACATCCTGGGATTTTTTATGACCACAGAGAGTCAGGACCTCGGTTTAACGTCTCATCCGAAGGACGGGTTTGGGCTACGGGTTAGTAGCATTGGGCTACTCCGCAGCAGCTGCGATCCGCCGGCCAGTCTAAACAAGTCCGAGTATTAACACTTATTACAGGCTTTACGTAGTGATTCAAGATAAGACAAAAACACGGTTTGAAAAAAAAACATTATGATGCACTCGCTCATTGTATATATTTTGTAAATTCTGAACACAAAAAATATACGGACTGCATCTGTTTTGACCACTACCGTCAATGTTTACTCAAACTATAATCTCACTAATTCTGTAACGGAAATCATTTGAATATGTGAAACAAATAAATATTGAGACTGTGTGATTGTAAAGCAGTTTCATATCGACAACTGCTCTCTCTCTCAGCGCAAACTGATTTGAATGTAGGCTAGAGAGTGACTCGGCGGTCGGCGCGCGCAGCGTGCGTGTGTCTGTGTGTGACAAATGCAGCGCGTGTGAGAGCAAATCGCAACTTCAGTGGTGAAGTTTTTGTCATTTAGGAATAAGACGGCGTCTTCTACTCCCAGCACTTCGCCCACATGATGATATCGCATCGGCATCAGAACCGTTTTCGGAACCGAAACTTAGGAATTTTGCACGGTTCCGGTATTTTTTCAAAAACACAACCGGTTCTGGAAAAGAACCGGTTCTCGGTTCCCAACCCTAGATCAAACAGCACTGATGTGGAAACCAGGAGAAACACTGTGCCATGAATGAACAAGTTAAAGAAGGCTTTTCAATCCACAAATCATCAACATTTACCATGGATTTAATGTCGTAACTGTAAACATGGTATTGTGGCAGAAATAGTAGAGCGTTTTATATAGCATAGCATAGCGGCAACCTCCCCGTCTCTCTCTTGAAGCCAACACGGAAGTAAATTAAACTGCAATTCATCGAGTGGCCTCTTGAGGCTGGCTGCAAAAGCGAGTCAAATCTGTATCTCCCTCAAGTTAAAATGTCTAACTTCACAGCAGAAAAAAACATGTTTACAGCCTGGTGGCAAATAGTTGTTTTGGTCTATATTGCTAATTTTGCCCTTCATGACGACTGTGAGGGGGGTGAATTTTTTTACAACTCATCTGTTTAAATTATTTAAGCCTTAAAGTTCTGCATAATTAAGGGCGTGGCCACTTGAGTGACAGGTGGATTGCCGCTGCTGTCACTGCTAGTCGTTTGTCTGCTGTCTGTTTTTAGCGTCACCCTCAGCTGTGTTTGTGCTTTTTTCCGGGATTATTTCATACAATTTAATACATGTATTATACACCTTCGCCCGTGCACGCCGTTGGATTCTGTCGTTGTCGAGTATGGAGAGAACAGCGACGTATTTCCAGTTGTTTCCCTCGCATGCACTAATGGATGTCTGACAATTTCAGTGTTTTCTCTCCGTCCATGCAATTGAATGAGCGCAGATTTCTAGTGAATTTACTTGAACTTCTGAGGTAATATCTTTGGTTTGACCCATCTGAGAAACTGAGAGGCGGCCAAAATCAGATTGTAAAATGGACTGAGTAAAGCTCTTTACGAACTTGACGTGAGATGCTCTGCTGACTGACATGTACAGTATGTGCATGAATCACTGTCACACGCACAAGCTTAGAACAATATTGTAACTGACTGCATGGTAATACATTTTTAACTAGCAGAATAATAATGCATCACAATACACATAGTTGACTGTATGTTGTATGAAATGTGTGTGATCTGTGTTATGTAACATTACTGTTGTATACATGCTCGGAACTAATTGCCCCTTGTGAGATTAATGAAGTTGATAAAAAAGAAAAGTAAATAGTCTCACTTTTAGTCACGTCTTTACTATTATAATATTTCGAAGGGCAAAAACATGAACTTTAACTATTGGCTTTACTTCTTCAATCAGCTGTCTCTTCAGCATGAGGGCAGTAGCATAGCATTAGTACCTCAGCTCCACCCATGTCCCGCCTCTTTGCCCATTTTAATTGATCCGGTAGTGACGAGAGTTGACACGCTGCCAAGATGGCGACAGCCAGCCCCGCCCACTATAGGCTTCAAAAACGCTCGTCAGAAACCTACAGGTGACGTCAAGGATACTACGTCCATATTTTTTTACAGTCTATGGTTTTATCTTTATCTCACGGTTCGTTGACTTTGTAAGAGTCAAATTCAAGGACTCTCAAAGCTCTAAATATTATAAATTTTTAGTGTTATTTTTAATGTGATGATTTGCGAAATTAAAAGTTGATTAAAAGCAAACAAACATTTTTTTTTAAAGACATACCACTATAACCACTACATGTTGGCAGAGGAGCATTTATTTGACTTATTAGCCATTTCCACTCCCTAATAATATATGGACAAATGTAGGAAGTCACAAATTCTCATGAAAACAAAAAAAAAAATTTCTTCCATTTGTGACTAAATTACACAGAAAACTAGTAAAGAGCGCTTCTTTTATAACCCCTGAAGCTGCCAGTCAGTTCACTATTATACTATAGATGAACAATGGTACATTTAATAAGAATATAGTAGAATATTAAATTAAAATGAAAGTTGATTTTATCTGCATCTCAATTCCGTTCAGTGCTTTACTGTCAAATTTACAATAAACAAACATGCAATATTATTAGTAACTGCACTTATGAATGCAAAACAATAGTAGTTTTATGCTTGACTGAACTTTAATTAAAAACCCTCCAGTGCTACTAGTGTTCTCTAGTGTTAGGCCCCGTCCACACTACTGCGTTTTCGTTTAAAAAGAGAGAATTAAAACGAATACGATCTCCGTCCACACCAGCGTTTTATCTGCGTATTAGAATTGATCTCAGCCACATTAAAACGACTGTAAATGCGGATCACATGACCATTCACCAACACTGGGCTTGCGTGTGCCGGTGTAAAATTTCAGCGTTTATAAATTTCTGTCTTCGTTTTTTTTCTGTTTTAGTCTGGAAGCGAGGTGCAAACGTAAAAGGTGCAAAAGGTCTCGTTTTTGAATGAAAACACAGTAGTGTGGACAGGGCCTTAGTCGCTCTAGTGTTAGTCTGGAGCCCTCACTATATATGAAGCACTTGTAAATACAAAGCTAGGTTCTACTGGTTTTGCTTCTATACAGTAAATGTAACATGCCTGATGCACTCTTCTCCGGTGAGCACGTCTTCTTGCCAAGGGATTGTGTGAATGGACAGGGCAAAACTTTAGCTGGAGTGTAAGTGTTCAAAGGAGCCTTCTTTGAGGGCAGAGCTGAGGGTTAGAACAAATAAACAGGTTTAAACTAATGTACAGTAACCATGACACAGTGGCAGCCGAGGCGTGTTGTTCTGACCGTACCTGGCGAGGAAGGAGACATTTCCAGGACTGGGTCATTGGATATGGCTATGGAGGCGAGGAAGTCGTCCACTTGTTTGAGAGACAGGGAATTATGGAGGGTCTCCAAGGGACAGATTGAAGGAACCATGGAATACAACTCAAAACCTTCAATGAAATATACAACATCAGAATCTGAAGAAAACAAAAAACGGCTAGAAATCACATAGCATGAACTATAACTAAACAACTTGGAGAAATGGCAGAGATAAGGCGTTCCATTTCCTCTAAATGACAAGCAACAACACCGTCAAACGTGAGTTTGAGGTGGGCAAGATGGAGGCAGATGGGTCACACAAAGAACAGCTCACAATACCTTCAAAATCTACCAAAAACATCACTCAGCCAAGATGGTTTTATGAAGCAGAAATGACAATCGACCTACCTTATAATTCTTTTTCTCAAATGAAACTAGTGGAACAACATGATTATGATTTGATTTATTCAATTCATGCAATTTGGCACAAGATGCCTGAATATAAACTTCAGGTGTCTTTTAATAAAAGCACTAAGCAACAAGAGGCCATGCATTACAGTAATTGGAGGTGTTATTAACCACGGTAAAACCACTGTAACACACAGCCTCTCATGGTTTATTGCTTTTATCCAACGGCAGAAACAGTTCTAGAAGACACATGGTCCATAAATAGTAACATTTATCAAAATTCAAAAATCAGAATAACCAATTCTTCTGTCAAGTAATATAGTTCATTCGACTGTTTACGGTTGCCAAGCAACGCAACATTTATATATTCATATAGAATGTGCGACTATAGTGTGCCTTCATTGGCATTTTACATTGGCTTCAAATGGGACTCAATTTATTTGAATTTAACGATAGAACTGATTCAATTTAGAGTACATGTGCTGTCCACACTTAACATAGATTGATTTACTAAAAAACAAAAAAAAGTTTCAATACCTTTTGACAATAATAAAAAAGGCATCTAAAGAAGTGAATGAGTGAAGGAGCCAATCACATAACAGTATAAGGAAACTATTATTAGGCAATGTTCAAATGAGTAGGTTTGGTGATGTACCTAGAATAAGACTAAATGCAAGATGGGATAATATAAAAAAATACAAAAGAGCATATGCGATGCGTGTTACTTTTCCTTCTGCGAACGGAATGAATAAACCAAAAGCTCATTTTCTTGTGGGTACATAAAGAAACATAAAAATACAATATAATTCTGACTTACAGGATAGATCTAAGTGAGACTGAACTTCGCTAAGGGTCAAAAACTAAGGTCTATAGTCTAGATCAGACTTTTACTACACAGAATCGGGAACTAGAGCCAAACAACAAACACTAATTAGACAGAATAGAATGTGTATATTAAGTATGATTAACACTTACCACTGAACATACTGGAAAACACTGACCCATTTAGAAAAGCAGATTAAAAGAAAAAACAAACAATAAAAATGATATGCTAATAATGGGCAATTTTCTAAACGTCCAAAAGCATCATCTTGGATGTTAGCAACTTATAAAACACTGCAATGCAGCATTATGCACAATATGCTTTACATTTTAGCCAATCATTAAAATAATAATAATAATATATATATTTTTTTTTAAGTATGCCACTCTGTTGGATGATAAAGTTGCATTTTTGCTATAGAATTTGCAAGTGAAAAAAAAAAAACAGAAAAAAATGTAAACGTTAGTCAAGCTAAAATATGCAGAGACATTTAAACAGGTTAAAATAAAGTGTAATATATTAAATAAATATTCTTCATTTAGGCCAAAGAGCAGCGCATTCTTTTCACTTGAAAACTGTCAACGGTTCAGTTTATCAGTTTCGAAGAACTAGTTCATTCAACCACAAACAAACAAACAAATAATTAATAATTAAAAATAGGTAACAGCAAAATATTCATTTATTGTCATTTATGTAAATGACAGCGATTTTTTTTTTTTTAAATCCATGTAATGAGATCAGCGTCCAGAGGAGACTAGACTGTTGATCACACATACATGATGAGTATCTACTCCTTTATAATGTCTGATTCCTTGAGCCCTATCCTGCGCTTGAAGGAGGAACTCTAAAACTCAAGACATCAAAAACTGAATGTGAGGGGAAAACGTGACTGGGAATTAACAAAAGCAAACATACCATTGGTTGGGTGTCGCGCAAATGAGATAGAAAATCTTTTAACAGCAGAGCCACGCGTAGCTTCTGAGAAAGAGAAAAACAGGTACCTGAAATTATAAGAGCTAACAGAGAGAGGGTTAAAGAAAGGCTGAAGAAGACAGGAGTCATGCAGGAGAGACGCAGAAGTGAAGCAGAGGAGTGCTTGTGTTTAGTGTCTGGACAGCCACAGGGATGGGGATTAAACAACAACAATAAAACGTTAAAAAATTAAGCCTTCGTTTCCTTTCTGTTTAAGCAAACACACATGCTGCATCCCAATTCGCATACTATCCGTCCTAAAAAGTATTCAAAAATAGAATTAGTACGTCCCTAACCGTAGTATGTTGAAATGAGTGTTTCAAAGAGACCCGGATGGTCTACTATATTCGGTCAGGTCCGAAGTGCAGATCGATGCACACTCTAATGGGTGATATTGCCCACAACTCATCGCGCGTTGTACAAGGATTCGGTTAGAACTACAAACACGAGTGAAAAGTGTTAAACAACTACAGACATGGAGGACGCGCACGTCCGGCGGGTGTGTAGGCTGCCAGAGGGGTTTAAAGTCCCCGTGAACCGGAAGTTGCAAACGACTTTTCTCCAGTGTTGTGACGTATTTCCGAGAGAAACGGAATACTAAATGAGGCGAAATAGTGGGCGTGGCTTTTTTTCCAACTAGCACCTGATTGGATCTAGAAAAATGGGTGTTTCATTCTGAAATGGAGGATGACGCAAGTTTACACACGCTGTCGATCAATGCGCGTTCAGCGCTCGCAAACACACAGCAGCTGTCAGTTGAAGGGGCGTGGTTATGGATGTTAGGGACACACCCAAACCGTGAAGCCTACATCATCGGGCAAGGTCTTCCAATGCAGAGGGGAGGGGCATTTTCAAAATTTGATTAAATTTTACAAAGCCAAAAAAATTTTTTGTGTGGATCGACTTGGATGTATGAATTGTTCACCACAAAACGATCAATTTAGGCAAACAAAGTAAGTATGATCGATTTTGATTTCATGGGGACTTTAAAGTGATTAATTATTAGTATCTAACCTGATGAAAATGTACTTATTCAACGTGGGCTACATTATTATATTGCATCTGCAGAAGCATTGTGAACTTTTATAAAGATATGTTTAGCCATTAAAGGACAAGTTCGGTATTTGACAATTAAAGCCCTGTTTTAAGATCGTTTCTGATGAAATACAATGGTTAAGATTGTTTTTTAGACAGATGCTGCTGTCCCGAGAATTTTCAGTTTCTGTGGTAGCACCCCACACCTACAGTGGTAGCATAGGTGCACAGGAACAATCCTTTTTAAAACGCATAAAACGAATCGGTTACCTAACGTACCCTCGGTTCTCTCTAGATGAGGGAACGAGTATTGCGTAAGCTAGCTTACGCTACGGGAAAGATTCATCTTTGCTGAGAAGTTGAAGCCAAAAAATTATTCCATAATTTTGTAATCATTGTCAACGCAGTCTCTTCTGAGGCAGACCATGAGCGGGCTAGCTAGCGGCTCATTGGTTCGCTCAGAGAGAATGCACGAACCTATGGGAGAGCGGCGCTGAGTCCGCGGCCAATGAGCGGACGGCGCTCGCTTACTGCGTCACAGCCCGCCAAAAGGGGCGTGGCTACAGTGTATAAAGGTCGCTCTCCCAGCTCGTTCGTTGATTCTGTAGCATGAAGCGAAACGCTATTGGCGCAAGCACGGCCGGGAACGCAATACTCGTTCCCTCATCTAGAGAGAACCGAGGTTACGTTAGGTAACCGATTCGTTCTCTTACGAGAGGTTCTCTCGTATTGCGTAAGCTAGCTTACGCTACGGGAACACCTGGTCAACGCCGTGCGCGCTAAGTAACCACTAAGCATCCCAGGGGAACACCGGGGGAATCTATAAGTGGATGAAGATAATACGGCGGCCAGCATAGCGGCCGTTACTATCTAGTGCAAAAACGCCCAAGGCGGCCGGCGAAGGCGGGCCGTGATGTGTGGGCTAATGCATAAGCACATAGGGGAACACAAGGGGTGAGCCGGTGTGATGGAACTCCCGATAGTGCGGCTTCTATAGGAGGGCTGTGAGTACTAGACCGCCAGAATTTTCGCCTGTAAGGCTGGAACTTCCAAGTTGTAAAATCTGACAAAGGTGGAGGGGGAGGCCCATCCCGCAGCCACACAAATGTCGTGAATGGAAATCCCGCAGGACCATGCCCACGATGAGGCCATGCCTCTGGTGGAATGAGCCCTGATGCCCAGAGGGCAAGGCAGGTCTTTAGCGGCATAAGCAGAGGCAATCGCGTCTACTGTCCACCTGGATAGGGTCTGTTTCGAGGCGGCTAGTCCCTTGGTGCGGCCACCGAACGACACAAACAGCTGCTCCGAGCGTCTGAACGCGGCAACGCGTGTAGTGTACACTCTGATAGCCCGAACCGGGCAGAGGCGGTCAGCGTCACGTTCGCTATCGGATGCAGGCAGCGCCGATAGAGAGATGACTTGCGCCCTGAAAGGGGTACCAATCGCTTTTGGAACATAACCGTGTCTAGGCTTTAGAATGACTATGGAGTCACTCGGTCCAAACTCTAGGCACGCGGCGCTTGAAGACAGCGCGTGAATGTCCCCCACACGTTTTACTGAGGCGAGAGCCGTCAGAAGAACGGTTTTTAACGAGAGGTATTTTAGCTCCACGGACTCAAGTGGTTCAAACGGTGGGGCTTTCAGAGCTTCTAGAACTATAGAAAGATCCCAGACCGGCACCGTAGGGGGGCGAGGGGGGTTCATCCTTCTGGCTCCCCTGAGGAAGCGGATGATTAGCTCGTCTTTGCCCAGAGGCTGGGCGCGCCGGGGTTCAGCGAACGCCGCGACGGCTGCCACGTAAACCTTAAGAGTGGATGGGGACCTGCCCCTATCCAGCATCTCCTGAAGGAACACAAGCAAAGACGAAACCTCGCACGTCCGTGGGTCCAAATTCTTGTCGGTGCACCATTTAGAGAACACAGACCATTTTGCAGCATAGAGCTTTCTGGTAGAATCCGCTCTGGCGTGTTTGATCGTGTTCAAAACCCCTTCTGGCAGTTCGACGCGTAGTCGTTGGTCACCCATGCATGAAGCGCCCAGCGCTGTGGATGGGGATGCCAGATCGAGCCGCGGGCTTGCGTAAGGAGATCTGCTCTGATTGGAATGGGCCACGGGGCTGTCTGTGACAGCCGCGTTAGCTCCGGGAACCAAATCTGATTCTCCCAGCGCGGGGCTATAAGGAGCACCGAGTGGCGTGAGTCCCTGATTCTCTGAATGACCTGCGGTAGCAGAGAAATCGGGGGAAAAGCATAGAGCGGGCGGCGGGGCCAATCCTGGGCTAGCGCGTCCTCGCTCTTTGAAAAGAATATTGGGCAGCGAGCGTTCTCTTCTGACGCGAAAAGATCTATCTCCGCTCTGCCGAATAGGCGCCACAGTGTTTGGACTGTTTGAGTGTGCAGGGACCATTCTCCGGGGGAGACCAGGTTCCTGGACAGCCTGTGTGGACCGTCGTTCAGATGGCCCGGCACGTGCGTCGCTCTGAGCGATAGCAGGTGACTCTGGGACCACAATAGGATGCGGCGTGTCAGATGAAAGAGATTCTTGGATCTGACGCCGCCCTGACGGTTGATGTATGATACCACGGCCATATTGTCGGAGCGAATCAGGACGTGGTGACCGTTTATGCGCGGGAGGAAGCACAGCAGCGCGTTCTCGACCGCGATCATTTCCAGACAGTTTATGTGTAAGGAACTCTCGTGGCTCGACCACTGGCCGGCGGCCGGTGAGCCCTCGCAAACCGCTCCCCAACCCGAGTTGGATGCGTCTGTCGAGATGACTTTCCGGCGAGAGAATGTTCCCATGGTAACGCCCCTCTGAAACCACTCGCTTGCTGCCCATGGCTGCAGTGCAGTGATACAAGTCTGAGTAATCCTGATCATCTGGCGGCCCGTCGTCCACTCGCGGTGGGATACGCGGCTCTTTAACCAGAATTGAAGGGGGCGCATGTGCAGAAGACCCAGCTGTAGCACAGCGGAGGCTGAAGCCATATGACCCAGCATCCTCTGAAGCGATTTCAGGGATGTAAGGGTACCCATCTGAAACGAGGCGGCTAGGCGCTGAACACGGCGCGCGCGCTGTGTGGATAAGCGAGCCGTCATCGTGATAGAGTTCAAATCTATTCCGAGGAACGAAATAGTTTGACTGGGCTGGAGAGAGCTCTTTGTCCAGTTGACAGAGAGTCCCAGCGCTTCCAGATGGTTGAGGAGAACTGTGCGGTGCGACAGTAACTCCGTCTGGGAATCTGCTAGAATCAGCCAGTCGTCCAGATAATTCAGTATGCGCAGCCCCTGACTTCGCAGGGGAGCGAGCGCTGTATCCATGCACTTCGTGAACGTACGGGGTGCTAAGGATAGGCCGAACGGGAGAACGGCATACTGGTAAACTTGGCCCTCGAAGGCGAAACGTAGGAATGGCCTGTGATGAGGGTTTATCTGGATCTGAAAATAGGCGTCTTTCAGGTCTAGAGAGATGAACCAGTCCCCCTGGCGGACGTGCGCGAGGAGTTTCCTGACTGTGAGCATTTTGAACGGTCTCTTCATGAGCGCTTTGTTCAAAGCCCTGAGATCTAAGATCGGCCTGAGGCCGCCGTCTTTCTTGGGGACCAGAAAGTAACGGCCGTAAAACCCCGACTCGATCATAGATGGCGGGACTCTCTCTATAGCGCCCTTCTGCAGTAGCTTGGCTATTTCTAAGCGAAGCGTGTACATAGCAGCCGGGCTGACAGTGGATTCGAGCCGCACGCGCGAGCGTGGCGGGCGGCGACGAAACTGTAATCGATAACCATTCTTTATTATGCTTAAAACCCACGGGGAGATGCCGGGGATGGCTTCCCACGCTTTGTAGCATACGGCTAGTGGTTGAATGGCGATTTCGCCCTGATTGCTGCACATTGCGGGCTGGACACTGGGTGTGGGCTCGCTTATAATGTGGAAGGCAACGGGACTTACACTCAGAGAGGAGTTTAAGGGCCT